GATGTCTTCCACCACTCAAATTAAAGGTTTTGAGATTCTCTACAAGTTTCATGTTGGCCAAGGATCCATTTGAAGCTTTCATTTTGACTTATCTTGCTTGGAAGTTTGTCCTAAACTAGGGAATTTTACACAGAAACCCTAATTTAGAAACTCCTCTTCTCCTTGATTTCTCTTGAATTCTTCTTAGCATAACAACATATCCTTATTCTTCATGTCAAATGATGAACCCCACATCTCTCCAATAGCCCTTAATGCCTTTCAATCAGTCAATTGACCTAGAGTTGACCCAGAGTTGACCCAGATGAAACCCTAGTTGACTGTCTTCAACTGTAATTCTTGTGACTTCACCAATGACTTGTCTCCTTCTCCAAATGACTTTCTAAGTCCTCCAAGATGTCTAGATACTCCCCATGCTCAGCCCACAGCTCACCATTTCTTTGTTGATCCTCAGACACCCTCAGTTAGGAGATAGATGAACTGCTTGATCCATTGACTTGATAGCTTCCAAATTCTTTTCTGATGACTTGAATGAGGTTGAATCAGGATAATAACCTCTTGATAGGCCTCTAGAGATGAGAATAATGATTGGTCCCCTGTTAGCTGACTTGCTATGCTTATGCTATGCAGATGAGTAACCTATGTACATGGCCCTATATGCAAATGCTAATGCAATTGAAACATAAACCAAGTGAATAAGGTTGGGCAAATTTTTAGGGTGCAACACATGCGCATCCCCAAAGTTTTTTGCTCAATAAATAACGATCTCAAAGACCTTTCCGCAATACGGTTCCTGCCCATTGGTCGCACAAGCTATGCTAACTCAAGTCATTACTCCTCGCCTCGAAGCAACGACTTAGGAGGCTTCTTTTATGGACTGGACTAACACCTGCCCCACACCTGGGCAAGGCCCAATCCAGTCTAGCTTTAGGTCAGACCTAATACGACCATAAGGCACAATATAGTCGTTGGGCACAATATAACCGTTGAAGCACATAGCCATTAGGGACGTGCCCCTCACGCGCTTGACAGTTCACGCGACCAACTGCCCCTCCGAAAGTCACGGAGACAGTTGAAACAGGTCAAAGATCACGCGCTAGATCTTCCATCTGGCAGTCCCCCATTGGCCGACCAAATATTTCAGTTATATGGGACACCTTGGCCCCGCGTTGGGGGGAATCTTATAAATACCCCCTCTCTTAAGAGGGTAAGATATTCTAATCATTCTTACTCATACCTAAACACTCGTACTTGTTTTCTCTCTTTAACCCAAACACTTACTTTAGCATTAAAGTACCTTGCAGGTACACCCCCTCCTCTGCTACTATCGTTGTTGTTGTCTTGCATTGAATGGAAAGACGATCCATTCTGATCACTCCAGATCACCAATAATTAAAACTCTTTTCCATATGAAGGGCCCAATTATCCAACTGTAAGTATTGAATCCTTTGTTGGATAGTGCAATTGAAAGTGCATAAATCATTTTGTGTATATAATGGGTTCAAATCCAAATAGTGCCATTTTCTGAAATAAATTGATAAATTACAAATTTTTTTCTGACATGATTCAAACACGAGACCTTAAACTCGCAAAAAGCACTTATTTACTACAACAACGCTTGGTATGTCCATACTATGTGTGTTAAACTATCAATCCATGTAAAATTTCATATGGCCAAATTGTCATGGACAATGTATAGCCAAAATGCTTACATGTTTGGTATTATAGTACAAATTGAAATAACCATGGCGCTTATGGAAAAATCATCATATGCAAAATTAACTACCATGCTTTATATGTAACAAAACTTGATAATTGTCATGACAAAGACACACGTGACAATAAAATTATAGAAATACTATGGATATTCATTATATGTGCAACATTAAATTGATGTCTTAGAGCATCTTTAATGGGAGTAAACTAAATGGGTAAACTAAGATATTTTTTTGGGACCAAAGTATTTTGTAGGATTTAAAAAATTTATAGTTGATTTGAGTAATTTTTACTTTAATGATGATTGTTTATAAGAAACCAAAACTTGACCCCACTATTTTTAAATATCATGTCATTACTTTAATGCTGTTGGAATATTTTATTAATTAAATAAATAATATTATAATATATTTTACATAGTTAACGTTAATTATATAGATGATGGAAACTAAATTTAGTTCACTTATCATGTCAGCTCTACTATAATGCAAATTCTTTATTACTAACCTAAGCTATACAAAATTTTGGTTTAACAACCCTGCACTAAAGTTGCTCTTATGGTGTAAAGAAGAAGATCCTATTAAACTGTCATGGATATTGTATATGCTTAATGACTGATTTATTTTTGCACTTACAGTACCAGAAAAAAATAGGTTGCAGTTTGGTGTTTTTCAAAACATTAACTTTTAACTTTGGTCTTCAAAACATTAGCTTTTAACTTTGGTCAAAAAAGTCTACAACATAGTATATTGAAATTCTTATACTTTGTTAAAGTCATACTTTAAATTAAATATTGTGTTTAATATTGTATGTCAACAATTTTATTGATAATAATTTTAATTATTTTTTCATATATTAAACCATTTTTACTATTATTACCAAAAATATCAAATAACCAATTTTTAAAATTTAAAAAATAATAAATTTGTTTATCCAATTAAACAATATCATGAAATACCACGAACACAACCAATTATTTAAACTTATATAGTCATAGGTATCATTGTTCTTTATATAATTTTAATATACTATTCATTTTTATTTGATATAATTAATATGTATTATTCCATTTAAATTAATCGATCCGTGCAGATGCACAAGTCTTTTACTAATTTTATTTTAAAACAAAGAGATTCATACTCAAATCTCCATGCATCGTGTGTCGCACGAGTCTTTTTACTAATTTTATTTTAAAATAAAAAGATCCATACTCAATTCTTCATGCACCATGTGTGACCCGTTGCTTTACTCCCTCCCCCATTTTTTATAAGCCCACTTAAAAATATATGTAAAAATACTTAGGATTTTCTTCCAATGCTCCCCTTATAGATATTTTGTGATCCAATTTAGTTTAGAAATTAAATGGAATCAAATTTCAAACAATTCTAACAAAGCATAATATAATCAAATTAACTACACACTTAATTCTAAATAAATCTTTTAATAATTTTGGTTAAAAAACAAAAATAAACGGATAAAAAATGAATAAAAATTGGACGCAAAAGTACTAAAAAATTAAATTGAATGTATTAAAATGATTAACGTGAAATAAAATTCTCGAAAACATACAAGTTTTAATCAAATTTAAAATACAAAATGACCGTTTAAAAGGCTTAAACAAATCAATATGCAATCAAAAAAACAGTTGAAAAATAAAACGAGCATGTCAGATTAAACTACGCGAACCGTAGATTAAGAATACTGACGTTTGCAAGTTTGATTTTGAAAATTTTTGCCTGCTAATTTGAAGCACATTTGAAAATTGATTCAACCGGCCTGTCTGTAGACCCAAGAATTAATTCAGGTTGATATTTTAAGCGTCATACAGAATAAAATGCATACTATGATAAATAGAAAATGTAAATGTCTTGTGAATGCATTGATTTACTGATCGAATAATTATGAATCGACAATCAGATGCAAAGGAATCGCTTTCAGACCATTTGCTTCTGATTCTCAATTACAATTAAAATCCTACAAAGATTCAGGTGACGACAATACTCTTGACTGTTACCCTCTGAATTTCTGAAACACGGTTTAATGGAATGAACAATACACTAAGATTTAGAAATGAAGTTTTTTGACTTCTTAATCAATAGAAGACCGAATAAATGTCACCAAGATCAGATAAAATGACATAACTTCTAACTTTTCATCTAAACCCTGATGAATGCTTTTGACTGAAATAATACATGATAAAATGAAACGATTATACTATGTAGATGTATGTAAAAATTTGGGGTAAAATTTAGAGTATGACAGTCTTATAACGTCATTCCAAAATAAATATTTTCACTTTTTGATTTCAATGACTATATTAGTCTTTTTCTCATATTTTCACACTTAAAAATGACTATGTGTTTATTTTTAAATGATATGTCATTTATAAAACTTTATAATAAAAAATATAAAAGTTTAATTACAATTTTGGTCCCTCTACTTTTATTTTTTATTTTTAATTTTGATACCGGTATTTTAAAATCCAGAATTTTTGTCCTTTTATTTTTAATTTTTTTGAGTTTTGGTTCCCATATTTTAAAGTTTGGAATTTTTGTCTCTCTATTTTTATTTTTTTGTGAGTTTTGGTTCTTCTTATTTTTATTTTTTAAAATTTTTGGTCCCCTAAATTTGTTCTCTATTGAAAAAGAATTAAAATTCAAAACAAAACTTAAAATTGGAGATCAAAATTAAAAAAGAATAAAAATAGAGGGACCGAAATTTTAAATTTTAAAATAGAGAAAACAAAACTCAAAAAAATTAAAAATAAAAGAACACAAATTTTAAAATTTAAAATAAAAAAATCAAAAAAATCAAAAAATAAAAATAGAGAGACTAAAGTTGCAATTAAGTCGAATATAAATTATAAAATCATCATCACATTATTTTTTAAGCGTGGAAAGTGAGAAAAAAACAAATGGATTTGAAACAAAATTTAATTAAGGTTAATATTTTTAACTTCTATTCATTTAATCATCGATTTCCTCTAATGAGCACCTCCGATCCGTGATATGCACTACGGCCGACTCAACAAAGGACGACTTTGCAAAATTCCAAAACTTGTTATAAAGAGTCAGAGTGCAATCAAATCCGAGCCTTTCAATTTTATAAAGTAAAATCCAACCGTAGCCTATTATTCTTATCGGTGTGACAAAATTCCCAATTTCTGGATCTCTCTCGATTCATCATCACCTTCCTTATTCCCCTTTCAACCCTTCCCCTCGATCGCTCTATATTTTTCACCGCAAACACAAATAAACGAAATCAAATCCCACGCCATAGTTTTTCCGATGGGCGAGATTAAGATGGAAGACATGCCGCTACCGGCGCTGTTCGAACAAGCAAGGAAGATCCACGCAACGGCCACAGAGTTTGGTGCTGATCAGGTACACCGTGTGTTTTCTTCTTCTTTTCGTTTATAGTCTTTTTGTGTTTGTTAATTGAGTTTGGGATTTTGGTTGAATCAGGAGCTTGTGAAGAAGGGATGCGAGGCTTTGAATAAGTGCGAGGACATGATTAATAAGCTTGGTTTGTTCTCTTCTAATGAAACCAAAGAGGATATCAGCACCACCGATCTCAAGTATATTTTGGTACTTGTTGTTCTTCTGCTTATTGTTATTATTATTTATCAAATTCTTTTTGTAGAACATAAGAAACAACTGAACAAAGCATATGTTTGAACTGAGACTTTTAAGTAAATGTCCTATGAAGTTTTGCAAAGGGAAATGTTTGGATGGATTTTTAGGCCACTTGCCAACCTATTTCTTGCAATGTGAACCACCATTGATAGCAATTGATGAAGGTGTAGGAGGGAATGAGTAGTACTAATGTCTTGTTCCTAGCCAAATTGTACAGGAATTACCAGTTCTTGTGCAATTGTTACTTCCATGCTATCGAGAACACTGCAGTTGATTATTCATCCTTTAAATACTGATCAAATAATGTAAAGTTACGGTTAGAAACATACAATTAAACACACAAATTTGTTGCTAGTGGCCAATAGCGGTGCTATCATGCTAGAGCGGAACGGAGGCTGGCCGCTATGGGAAGAGCCTCAGCGGCGTAGAACACTATAGCAGCCGCTATAGGGTAAATAGCGGGTAGCAGGGGCGAAGTGGTTCCCGGTCCTGAGCGGTTTCTGTTCTGCTATCCTTTTTCCATTTGAAAAATTGAAACGACTCCTTGAATTTAAAACATTTTAAGGGTAATTTTGTGTTTTTCAATCAAATTTGAGTTGAGACTCAACCCTAACCTTCCTTCACCGACGTTTCTGCAGATCCAAAGAAAAATCACAAGTTCCTCCCTCACTTCTTTCTGCACTTCATATGTTCATAATTATTATGTTTAGTTATAATTATAATTCATGTAATTTGTCCAAAAAATGATCGTATATAGGCCATCCCTCTGTGTTATCCCGCTATCCCATTTTTGGGACCAGCTGCACCACGCCGCTATTTGGGATTGACTATTTTTGGTTACTAATATCATAAAAATGTGTTTCTTCATTTTTTAGAGAGGTAGTATTACTTAAAAGGATAAAATATGGATTGTCAATTGTGCATTCTAATCTGAAGTATTGTGCATGCATTAGCTGGTGGGGAATACATAAATCTAATATAAAAAAGAATTTAATTGGTATGCACTGACAGTGTAATTACACTGTCAACCAATCACCCTCATGCATCCCACCACATCAGACTGTAAATTTTAAGTTCATGGTATGACATGGAAGATTGATATATTCTTATTTTACACTGTCAGTGTATACTAATTAAATTCTATAAAAAATCCAACCAATATTATGAAAACGGTAAGTTTGTAACTGAATTAAATTTCCAAAGCTTTAAAAATGTAGGATTAATCTTAATATAACAAGGATAGCAACAGAGCAAGAAAGAAGAGAGATGGAGAAATTCTTAACCGGGAGATGAAAAAGAGTGCACACAGAAGTGTGGAAGGCTGGGAAATGAGAGAAACCCGGAAAATTGATTACATTGTTTCCTCTCAAACATCACTTAAAAGGAATGTGTGCAACATCTAGTACTGTTAAATTAGCACGTATGGATAAATTCTATCACAAGCATGCAACCCTTTCACTTGAGTATCCTTAATGTGTATTAATGTGGTAAAGCTAGACAAATGTGCTATGGTATATTTGGTTCATCTATGTTACGTTCCATGTACATACTATTGAAGATAACTGATGAATTAATGCTTATCTACTTTATCATTTATCAGTTGCTTGTATAATCTCTCAGGTACCGTATTATCTCGCGGAGTTGACCGAAAAAATAGCACAGGATGACAGGATACAGATTCTAAAGGCTTCCCAGGCAAAACTGAAGGTGAGAGCTGATCTGTAGAAAGGGAACACCTGGCCTATCCCCAACAACCAATTCAACTTGATATGCACAATTCTTGTTAATTTCAGTAATATTCTTTTAATTAATGACCTTTTATTGAAACTTACTGTAGTTTTTTTTTTAAAGGAATTTATCTCATTTTGTGAGGCAATGGAGCTTGTCCCAAAAGAGGAGTTAGAATCTTATCTACAAGGGGTACCAAAATCTGTTACTGATCAGAGGGCCAGAAAGGTGTGATTTTTTCTTTTGCAATGCTCTGATATGATTTTTAATTTATACAACTGATACATTATATGTTTGTACCGTTAACCATTCTTCTCAGTTCCCATTATTCCCCTGATATGAAAATGAAATTGATTTGAATGATGAGCATCATAAATGCTCATGATTAATTTATTTAATATTTTTGCATCTGTTGTGCAGATAGCTAGATTTAAACGACAAAAAGCTGCAGAGTCAAAGTTGTTGGAAATAAAAGAGCGGAAGGAAAGGCGTGGGCGTTCTACTAAAGCAGCTGCCTTGTCCGCCCCTGTTGAGGCAGGTGAGGAAGAACTATTGGATGATGACGGGGAAGAAGAAAGAGAGGTTGGTATCTTGATCTGATTCTTATTTCAGCTCAGTGCTGCTAGTCTCCATTCTGCTACTTTATTTAGCGGGGTTATGCTTTATGACTGCTTCCCTGAAAATCTGTTTATGCCCGGTGGATTTACCTACCATTAGGGTTTAGTGGTCCTATATATTGTCTGACTATCTTGTGATTTACAAAATGGACTTTGGCGATTTCACACTGCTAAAAGCATATCTTATGCATAAACAATGTCTGCTAATTATGCCACTCACTCATTTTTCTTCTCCTTTTCAGGCTTGGAATACTAGCATATCTTTGGCGATCTGTAAGGTTGGTTCATACTTATTCAATATCTCCACTTGTTGAAATTTCTATTTTCATTATTCTAATGGCTGTCTCGCAATGTTCAGGCATTTGATCTGTTAGAAATGATAAAGAAAGAGGACGAGATGCTTTCTGCTGTAAAAGATAGACAATCCAAGGTAGTAAGATGCTTAGTATCTTTACTGATTGCTTAGTATCCTTAATGACGCACCATAGTCCTTTGTATCTTGTTTTCCTATCGGTCTATTGCCAATATTTTATACTACCATTATTATGGGGGAGATCTCTATGAAATGTTGTTGAGTTCAAAGTTAAAACTTGAAGAACGGTAAGTGGCAGAAACTAAGATACCATTTACTTTCTGAAAGCATTTTCTTCTAAAATTTATGTTCATTTTAAATTGCTGATAAGAAGATGGAAGACTTGCATAATGAACAACTGTGATAGAGAGGAGATGGAAGGCATGCTAGAATGATTGCATTATTTTCATATTTTTCAAAATTTCTAAAATTGCTAGATTTGTTTTCAAAAATTGCAAGAAAAATATTGGATACATTTGTTTATGAGCTGTTTATTAGTTGAAGTGAAAATGAAAACAGAAAATATAGAAAGTAACCGGGCCATAACTTTTTTTAGACTTGTACACTTCACATTTCACATGCTAGTTCTGGAATATCAGGCTTTGTAAAATATGCATGTGCCGTGGAACTATGAGACATGTTTGGTTTAAAAGAGGAATGGAAATTGTACTTCTGCAGGATTAAATTTGGTTTTACTCACTGTTTCTTGTAATTTTTCCATGTTTTAGGATGGAGACCAGGAGTTTTCTAAGGATGTTCTTGATGAACGTGCAAAGAAAGCAGAAGCGTGGCATCGCAATGCTGCAGTTCGTGCACAGTATACTAAACCCTCTCCACCAATCACATGTGCTACTTTTGCCCAAGATGTTCTGGAAGGAAGAGCACAAGCATCACAAGCACATGATCACAAACACCAACCACTAATATTCGGACCGCAAAGCCTTGTGAATGGAAGTTTTACAAATGAGAGAGAAAGATTGGCAGCCCAGGTCTTCCAACCCAGTCATAGGTACTTATTTAACCCTTTTATCAATAAAATGCATATTTTCTTAGCTAACAAAAGGCTTTGGAATAGGGAAATATAAAAAGTCCATTAAAAGACGTTATGCCTGAGAGGAAATGAAATTTAATTCCCTTGCAGTTTTGTAGTTCTATTACCTAGGAATGATAGAAGATCAGTAGTGAGCTAGTAACGCAATTCACATGTTTTTTGAGACTAAGTTGAATATTTTGTTGAAGGATGCCAACTATGAGTATCGAAGAAGCAGGACTTAAAGAAATGGAAATAATGAATAAATGGCAAGAGACCAATATCAGACTCATGGAAGAAGCCACTTCATCTTGGCACAATGATCGGAAGTTTAAGCCAGGTGAAGAGGAGGAGGATGAAGATGACGATGCTGCACAAGATAGAGCTAGAGCTTTGGATGATTGGAAGGATGATAATCCCCGAGGTGCAGGAAATTCAAAGCTTACCCCTTGTGGCTAATTAAATCGATTTTTCTCAGGTCGAAGAATAATGAGCTAGAGATGAATCATGATTGTTGCGAAATCTCATTATTTATAGTTTTTGCTCCTACTGTGTTAGTAAAGATTTTGTTAGTAAAGATTATGTATACCTGGATATTCATCTGACTACATGTGTATATTTTTTGAGTGCAGCATAGGGTCCTTCTTTATCTACCTCCATCTTTACACAGATTTATACTAGTTTGTTTAATTTCCATATAGTTTTCCAACCAATTTCACCAGAATTGAGATTCTCTCAAAAATGAAAATAATGCCGTACAATGCAGCAAAACATTTTTGTTTTGTTTTTCTTGAGATAGCAATATTTTGAAGTTGTTTAAGTACATCCTTGATGACATAATTTATTGACGGACCAGAATGGAAATAGCTTAAAGAACATCTGTTTATTTTTATTAGTTACTGTTTGGAATGTCAAAATGTTAGGTTAAATCCCAGACCAAGGAAAATTGCTGATGTAATGCTATAATTTGTGATATTGTTTTTAAATATCTAAAGTGTGATGTGTTTTTGGTGAAACCATAATATTATATGTGATATCTAGGGGTGTGTAGAACCTAACTCAATCCGAAGATCCGTTCCAACTCAATAGTTTTGGGTTAATCTTTTTCTGTCTCAATACAAAATAATAGAAAAAAAAGATGGTCTAAAAATGAACCCGGTATTAGGTGGGACGAATTTGGGTTGACTCTCAGGTTATCCAACTAACTCAATCCGAAGATCCGTTCCAACTCAATAGTTTTGGGTTAATCTTTTTCTGTCTCAATACAAAATAATAGAAAAAAAAGATGGTCTAAAAATGAACCCGGTATTAGGTGGGACGAATTTGGGTTGACTCTCAGGTTATCCAACTTTAATATTATGAATGCACATGTGAGATTATTTATTTATTCAATTTATTAGTATATTTAAATTATTTTAAAATTTCAATAAACTTTTCTACTTTCCACCTCATAATTTAATATGTCTTAACTTTCACACTTTTTTAGTTCTCTTATTTTTATTTTATTTTAATAAAATTGACTTTAGATGTTTTCATTGTTTTTCATTCATACTAATGATTTTATTCATATTTCTTATTTAAATGAAAATTTTAAAATACTATAATAAATTTTTTAAGTCACTAAATTTTTTTTCCATATATTTCGGGTCAAATCGATATGGTCTCACATTAATCCGGTCTAAACTAACATATATATTATTGGGTTTAGGCACGGATTAAGGTCATTAAAATAGTCCGATCAAAATTTAAGACAGAGTTAAGGTTAGTCATAACCCATCCCGACCGGTCCCTTGCTCACCCCTAGTGATATCAGATCAAATTGCTGAACAAATAAACATCAAAAGGGATCATAGAATATGACTCTTTCTGCTTAAGGTCTATTAATAGTATAGATTTGTCAGACTGTTTATAATGTACGAAATTGACTATCCGCCTATTCTAATCTAAAGGATATATTTTATACAAGTGTCTAAACTAAAAAAGATGAAAAAAACTAAATATAATTATAAAAGTATAACATGGAATGACGAAATAGAAATAAATTAACAAAAGATTTGAAATATGTTTACATAAATAAGTTGAGTATCAATGTCAAAGATTAAAAAAGAAAGACAAAAAAATGATAATATATCATGTGTTACAATCATTGTTGATATTGGTAGATTGTGTAGCATGAATCTCCATAATAAACAAAAAAGATTTAATCCGTAAAGAATAACATTTATATTAGGTGACAACAAAGAATACCATTTACCATGAAAAAAAATGATACAAAACAACTTGTACTTAAATTTCTATTAAATGTAGTGAAAAACTTTCTTGAAGACAACATTAGTGATTGTATGCATAGCTTGTTTATCTTTGTCATGAATCAAAATCTTAAGACCTTCTTTAGTCTTAACTCTAGAAAGTGCCACATATAATTGACCATGACTAAAAATATCTTTTGTTAAGTATAAATCGATGTTGTCTAAAGACTGGCCTTGTAATTTGTTAAATGTCATAACAAAAGAAACAATAATTTAGAACTGTCTTCTGACCAATTTAAAAGACCATGGTGACTGTGAAGGGGACAAAGACATTCTTGAAATATAAATGATGTTATCAATATTCTTTTCATAAATGATCTTGACTTCAATGACATGATTAGCAAGCCTCGTTACAGTGAATCATATACCATTGCATAATCCTTAAGATTGATCCGAGTTGCGCAAAAACATAATTGTGCTCCAAATTTTCAACTTTATTGAATAATTAGGCAATCTGATGTTTTAAGAGCATTCAAGAATTCAGGTGTCAAGTGTTCAAATGCATCAATGTTAATTGCTTCAGATCTATCTACAAAATTGCTACTGAAGTATTCTCTTTCATCTCCTTAAAATCATAAAAAAGTGTATTTGAGTTCAATGATAAGAAAACATACATTAGAGAATTAAATACATTAAGAAAGCATGAATAGTACATCAAAGAAGGCTTGTGATGTATTGATTGATATTATCCACTATTTCAATAGCTGAAGCCAAAATTGCACGACTTTGAAGGTAATTGGAATCATGGTAGTTATGAATGAGATTACGGTAGGTACTTTCAACAATAGCCTCAATAGGATCCGAAAAGTTAGAAATTAGAAATTCTTGTGGAATTGAAATTTCAACATAACCATCATTTGGTTCAGGCATTCTCCCATCTCAAATTTTTAAGATCCACTAAAAAAAATTTGTATCACATCAGCGGTAGATGTCATTGTTTCACTTTGCAAACACATGTTCTTTGTAATTTTGAGTACCTTGCAATGATTTCAAATATAAGAAGCATTTATGGTTACATGAATAATATCTGATCTAGTACCTCTTGGTATAACAGGAAGAATTTGTCTGAAATCACCACCAAAAACAACAACCTTCCCTCCAAATATTTTCTTAGACACTTCAAAATTTTTATTCATAATATCCTTCAAATATTTGTCAAGAGCCTCAAACTAAAATTTGTTAGCTATAAGAGCCTCATCCCTTATGATTAGATCAATCAACTTTAAAAGGTCAACAAGTTCATCTTTTTTGTCAATGTCACAAATGGATGTTTCCAATGTGGGTATGGAATCTTAAATTTAGAATGAGTTGTTCTTTCACCAGGAAACAACAAAATTGCAATCCCACTTGAGGCAACAGAAAACACAATTTTTCTTTTAGTACGAAGTGCAGCTGACAAAGTGTTTCACATAAATGTTTTACATATTCCACCATACTCATATAAGAAAAAACACACCACCTTTTTTGTTTTTCTACATCTTCCATTATTTCTTCAAAAATCTTTCTTTACTCATCTACAAATATCATCATCATAACAAAAAGATTAGTATGATCAACATCAACATTATATCGTTATATTAAATAAATGGACATGGATGTTACTTGTAAGAGATGCGTGTAAATTTCAATACAATTGTTCTCGAATAACCGGATCATATTGTCTCTCATCATAAATAAGTCTATTTTCAAGAAAGAAAATTACAAAATCTTTTGGATATGACATATGCTTGTAGTCCTTTAAACTTTTCTTGTTTTATTTTTGTAATTGTGTTTTAATAGCCATAAGTGTAAGTTGTTGTATTTCTTCATCCGTAAGTGTCAATCCTAAGGTATAAAAAATGCTATATTTAAAACACCCAATATTAAAGTAAAGAAATAGAAAGTAGATGCCCATGAAATAAAAAGTGCACCTAGATTTCTTGTCAATGCACATTGTTCATAAAGAATACCATCAGATAAGTACAACCATGAATTGTTCCAAACATGTTCAGGTCTATTCATGGATGATGATAACAACATAGTAACAAACAACTTCCATAAAAAACACCAAAATCCCAAACATGTGTCTCTTTAATTGCCTCAATAAACTCTCTATCATCTTGTAATAACCCAATAGCAAAACATGCTTCTCTAAAAGTTTTATGTTATACACCATCAACAAATTTGATATCTTTGTAACTTTAGCCCTTTCTTGAAAGTGAACATCATCCTTAAATAAAATAATTCACCTGTGCTCCGAGGAACCCAAATAAGAAGACCAATGATATACACTTTTTTTCTAGGTTTCCAACTCCTACTTAGTTTACGATAAACAAACCTAGAGACAAAGTCACCATATGTTAACAACCGTGCATCTTCAAATTTTTTGTTTGCCTCGAACCATGTTGTAAACATTGATTCAATTACACTTGGTTTGAGTAAAACATTTCCAATCTGCTCAAAGTCTTTGTAGTAAACAAAATTTTCTCCTTCCATGTGAAAATACAATATCTCAACGGCTGGCTTCCTACCATGTATAGAATATGAGAATATCCTCTAACATGCTTCACTTGGGGAGATGTAGAGACAATATAGATATTGCTTGATTTCTTCAGTGTTATTTTTCTCACTACATCTAGTGTTCTCAGAAGGTTGAATAACAACATAAATTCGATCTGAACATTTGTTTATTTACTTGAATAAGTACTTGATCGAAGTACTTTGATTGCACCATTCCATATTTATATGGGCTTCATACTTAAACAATAAACTTGGATCGTGGGGAACCACATGACTATTATGAAGGATGATTCAGTTTTTCTCGATTGAGTGTCCATTGTCTCTTCTCCTATATATTGGATAGCCATCCTGATCCACTATTGTTGAAGATTGGAATTTTTTTGGGTAAAACTTGGATCATTTCATGTCTTTCATGCAAGGTGGACTCATATTTGCCAAACCACAAGGACCATGAACCATGCGTGTTTTAACCAAATTATACAACTTTGGGTTTTTCAAAGGATCAGGCACTTCAACACGAATGATTTTGTCAATGTGTTCAGGTCTTGGATACTTGTTAGAAGGATGCAAAAATATCAAGCTATGTGCATGTGACAAACCTCTCTTTTTAAACTCAATGGTGTACATATCTAAAAAAGATGTAAAAGATAA